CGTTAAAACACAGGTTCCCGCACGATCGCTGAAGTTAAGCAACGTTGTGCCTGATCTGTACCTAGAGGGTAACTGCTTGGGAATATCAGGTAGAGTAAGCTTCGATGTGCTGGTGCTGCAATGTATAACGGCACGGAATTGGAAAATCGATAGTTGTATTCCAGTTCCAGTTGTGTTCCTTATATTCAATAAGGCACAAATATCCACTTCACCCCCAGCTATGGGTTGAATAGCAGAACAGACGGAGTCCTATAGCCTTGGTTGGCCACCAGTCTACCATAGAAAGAAATGGCAGCCTACTGCGGGGAAAATCATCTGCCTAGTCAATCATGGATATAAAGAAAAATGATTACCCAAGCGTGTATCATGTATGGCACATTTCCTCTCATCTTTTAACAACCTCAGAAAAAAGTTTATCCGTGAATATGAAAGGATTCTAATAAAAATAAGTAGACAGAACATGTCTAAATTATTTAACGAAACCTGTCTTTATATATATATATATATATATATATATATATATATATATATATATATATATATATATATATACATATTAGGGTACTCGACAAAACATACATATATATATATATATATATATATATATATATATATATATATATATATATATATATATATTAGGGTCCTCGACAAAATCCAGATACGGATATGCAATGAGGCTGCCCCTGATCTGGCATCTTGTTTACAGTCGCTCTCTCACCTCCCTCTGTCTTTTCTACAAATACTTTCACGGCAACTGCTCCGACCAGCTACTTTCGCTAGTTCCCAAACTTTTTTCAGAAACATATCGAAAGACTTATTTTAATTATAAGTAGGTTAACACTACTCTAGCTTAATCAGTAAAACATTGTAATCCCCACGAAACCTTTATAACATAAAAATATTTTCTGTCTTTAAATAACCTGCAAAAAGTTGATAAGCCGTAAAAAATTAAACAGACTACTTTAAAAAAAAATTAAAATCTGACCAAAAGATCAAGTACAAAACATCATATCATTTCCCAAAATCGAATATTTCAGCACCCTACTATGTGTGTGTGTGTGTGTGTGGTTTTGTGTGTGTTTGTGTGCGTGTAATTGAATTAAATGTGTTTTTTTTTTACTTTTTAAATTTGCCCTTTCTCCATCGTTCTATTTCCCTCTTCGCCTTTTTTCACTCTGTTTTTCTCAGATACTTTTTTTGTTCCGTTACCAATTACAAATAAAAGCCATCTCCCTCACCTGCCACTTTCTGCCCCTCCTATATCCCTAACACTATCTAGACCCAATATTTTTGCCACCCGGTGCGTCTTCTCTCTCTTTTCCCTTGTCTGTCTGACCCAAACGTCTCTTTTCCTTTACCGCATAACATCTTTGGCTGTCCCTTGTCGCTGCCATTGGAATCCTATCAATCAATCCCGACGCCCCCACGACCCGGCTTCAAGAATTCTACTTAAGACAAAGCGAGGGAAGACGGCGTGGAGTGTGGGGCGAGAGCTGAGCAAGGTAGAGGAGGGGGAACGTGAAAGTAGGTTTTTGGGGATTCTGATGTTTCCAGGAGTGGCAAGTGATGGAAGGATGAAAAGAAAGAGATTGACATAGAGGTAGAGACAAGAATGGTGGGGAGGTGTGGAAAAGATGAGGTTGTGTATGAAGGACAGTAAAGAGATTCATTGAAGGGAGAAATATAGGAGAGAGAGAGAGAAAAAAAAGGAGATGGAAATTAAGATAAGAAATGAATGAAATGGTTTCGAATTGGATGGAGATGATGAGGCAATAAAAAGAAAATGGTAGATGAAAACATGGAGTATGGGGGGGAGCAAGAAGAAAAAGAAGAACAATAAGAAATGAAAAAGAAGAAGAAGAAGAAGAAGAAGAAGAAGACGACAAAGAAGAAGAAGAAGAAATGAAAGTAGAAGAAAAAGAAGAAGAAAAAGAACAAAATGGAAGAAGAAAAAAGGAAGAAGAAAAAAGAAGGAGAAGAAGAAAAAGTAGTAGAAGAAGTAGAAATGAAAGAAGAAGAAGAAGAAATGAAACAAGGAGAAGAAAAACAAGACAAAGACGAAGAAGAAATGAAAGAAGAAAAACTGAAAGAAGGAGAAATGAAGAAGAAATGAAAGAAGAAAATATGAAAGAAGAAAATATGAAAGGAGGAGAAGACATGAAAGAAGAAGAAAGAGAAGAAAATGAAGAAGAAATGAAAGAAGAAGAAGAAGAAGAAGAAAAAGAAGAAGAAGAAGAAAAAGAAGAAGAAGAAAAGAAGAAGAAGAAGAAGAAGAAGAAGAAGAAGAGGAGGAGGAGGGAAGAAGAAGAAGAAGAAGAAAAAGAAGAAGAAGAAGAAAGAGGAGGAGGAGGAAGAAGAAGAAGAAGAAGAAGAAGGGAGGAGGAAGAAGAAGAAGAAGAAGAAGAAGAAGAAAAAGAAGAAAAGAAGAGGAGGAAGAAGAAGAAGAAGAAGAAGAAAAAAGAAGAAGAAGAAGAAGAGGAGGAGGAAGAAGAAGAAGAAGAAGAAGAAGAAAAAAGAAGAAGAAGAAGAAGAAGAAGAAGAAGAAATGGTAAAAGAAAAAGTAAAGATAAAACATATCGAAGAACCTGCCCTGTTATTCGTTTTGACCGAGCATCATGTCTTTTGTCCTTTTCCAACCGCCATAACGTAGATTCTCTGTGCCTTTTCTATAAATACTTTCATGGTAATTGTTCGGACTTCTAGGGTAACCGGAGTTCATGAATTTAAGGTCAGTACAAGGTAACGAAGGAGAGCGAGAAGAATGGACTAAGCATAAACTACAAGAGGACAGAATACATGGTCTTCAGTAAAAAGATGAACCCCAAAAATGTCGGGGATATTAAAATCAAGCAGGTACAGACATTTATATATGTGGAAAGTGTTCTGACAGAGAACGGTAAGTGCCACACTGAAATCCATCGATGTAGTGGGATGAATAAAGACGCATTCAAAAAGCTAAGCAGACTATTAAGAAAATTTCGTTGGAAACAAAGAAAAGAGTACTGAAATGTTACGTGATATCTGTCCTCCTGTATGGCAGCAAATGCTGGACAATCTCCTCAAAGATGAAGAAGAGACTCGAAGCAACAGAAATGTGGGTCTACAGAAAGATGCTGAGGATAATATAGGCTAAACATGTCAGCAATGATGAGGTTTTAGAGAGAATGGAAACAAAGATGAAACTCATAATTAACTTCAGGAAGAGGCAGCTGAAATTTCTGGGTCACGTAATGAGAATGAAGGGCTTGGAAAATCTGATACCCACATGGCGGATACAGAGAAAGAGAGAGAAGGGAAAATAACGCGTGACATACTTAAGGGGCCTGAGTAAATGGATGGCGGAACAGGGTCTGGAAGAAGTAGCAACGAGACAAAACGTTTTAAGAGCTACAAGAGATAAGTGGAGAGCCATGATCTCCTACGTCTTGGATGGACACGGCACATTAAAAAGATTCAATTGTCGGGAAGGTCTCATAATTTTACAGCTGAAATCGCTAGATGTAACCGTAAGATCTATGCTAACAGTTTCTTTTCTCGCACTTCTTGATTGTGGAGATCTATTCCGGCCTTTATCTTGCCAGTCAATTTTGATCTTCAAAAATGTAATGACCATGATTATTTTATATTTCTTTTTACAAAAATCAAATTGCTGGTAATTTAATTTCAATTTTTAAAAATCTATACTCTCGTTTTTTTAATCCAGGGTTCACTTTTTGCCCACTGTTGTTACCCTAACAGGTGGTACCACCGGAGTCAGGGTGGACCTGGGAACAACTGCAATTAAGTGCTGGTTCCACACTATTCAAATCTTCCTGACTTAGCTCTTGTGGCTGGATGTCGTTTAATGTCAAACCAAGGGCTACAAAAATGAAAATTTAATGTCAATCTCTATAATCTTTTTACTTAATTCCTGTTCTTTTATTGATTTATCTTCTTGATAACGTTTTCTTTTTCTCATAAACCACCGCGTCTTAGTGGCTTTATTACTTATTTAGGAGACACGGTGGAGTAATGGATAGCGGCTTGGATTGAGGAATCGGAGAGCCGAGTTCGAATTCCAGTCGAATCCATTACATTCACTTACGTGCTAATACCCTTGAGAAAGGTGTGAATCCTCTTTCCTCTCCCTCCAGGTATGGGTAAATAGCAGGACAGACCGGGTTCTATAGCCTTGAATGGCAACTGGTCTAGGAGAAGGAAAACTCTGAATTCAAAACCTGCTCTTAGATGAGGGTGAATGGAGTCTCTCTGAGCCTTGGTTGGCAATCCATTTAGTGTAGGTGTCACGATAAAAACACCCTTGATAGCACTAGGGAAGCATCAAGAATTCAGCTATTTGACAAGATTATGAATTACACCAATCAAAGTATTAGTGAGTTCAATCTCGGCTAAGGCCGCAAGATGATGATGATGATTTCGGGTGAAATAATTTAAAAAAATGTCCTCTCTTTTCAGTATCTGGGCAAAGGTGACCCTCACTTTTGTTGCTCAACATGATTTTTGACTCTGAAATAAATTCACCCATCCTTGCCAATTAGTTTAGTTGTTGTTTCTCCACTTTTACTCCTGCTTTCAATATGCCTTGTAATTATCAATTCTTTCATTATTATTGGCTTCAGTAATAATGTAAGTTGTCTCTAGCCGATCAAACCACCAACACTCCCCACCCGTATTCTATCGTTGAGAAGTAGGTTCCTCTCGAACAGTCTCTTCCTCCGAATCACTGCCCTGTGGAATCGACTCTCAACAGGATGTTTTCTCGGTTGCTACATCTTAACCATGTTTAAATCTAGGGTTAACCTATATCTTTCACTCCTATACATACAAAGGAAGTTCTAACGTAACCCTTGTCCGTGAGTGGTCCCAGGGCCTAGTAAAGGTTGAACCTTACTGTAAAAAAAAAGTCCACGTGGTTTGAAGAAGGATCGCCCTTGCAAAAGCCAAAAAAATTTCATGGCTTCCCCGCAAAGGAATCCAGTACGTCTTAGTGGGGACCATTTTTTCTAAATTCGTCAACTGACGCTACAGAATCGCAAAGAAAACCTGCAAAAACTCACGATATTGAGTCATCCCCCCACCACCACCACCACGAAGGTTTCATGTGGCACAAGGCCTTTTTAACGTGGGCATTCCGAGCCCGTGAGCTCGGCTAAAAATATGCCCATTGAACCCGTATAAACGGGTTCAGGGCCGGTTTTACCTCCCCGAAGGAGACTCCGCCCTTCGGCGTAGCCTCCTTCGGGTTCCTCCCGTCCGTAGGAAGAGAGTTCAACCGAGCAGTCGGTTCAACAGTGAACGACTGACTCACTGCACAAACTCACAGAGACATGTAATTCAAAGAGAATATTATCAAGATGTTGTCTTTCCGCACTACAAAAGGTTAGGAAGGAATCATCCGTTAGAAATACTGTATAGAACGACAACAATTAGATTATTTGGGAAACCCAATTTCCTAAAAGAAAATCTTTTAATAGAGTTCTCTTATGAATTTCAATTGAAAGTACGATTGGCTGTTTGGTCAATGAATATTGAATGTTTTCTTATAAGGAAACAGCTAATATTATCATTAGCATTTTCCTTAAAACTTTCTGCTCACATGTTCACGGCCTTCCCATTATTCGTTGTTAGGAGAGCTTCTATGCTGCTTCACGTCTCTCTTCTTCATCGTTGAAGAAACTGGGAAGCATAAGGAATGGAAACCTTGTCTGAATTTGCTACAAAACCCCGCTCGTATTTCTAAACGAAAATGTAAGAATGAGGGAATGCTGAAAATTTATCTTTCTGACAGATTTCTCCAACTCTTTTTATCAGTGACCAAATGTCAGATTCTTTTGAAAGAATTCGAGAAACTTTAGAAAGTAGCTGTCAAGTGTGTGCTGAATTTCGGGATAAATATTTAAAATAACTTCTACATTTCTTGGCTACTGATCATTCACTTTATTCCAAAAGGGATTTTTTTCAGTGCCATGCCATATGTATAAAGTTTGTGATAGTGGAAGTTTTAATTGTACAAGGTGTCCCTAAATTCTGAACACATAGCCAAAATGCATATCTTTAAGAAATGAAATTTTCAACAAGATTTTATTGAATATTCACAAATAACATCTTCGAAATAACAAATAACATCTGTGAAAGATTCACGTGAACTCGATACAATAACTTCAAATTGCCCTCAATTCTAGCACATTCACACTTTATCCGTTTATTCAAGTGTGTCGCGTCTGTAATTTTCATTGAGTACATCTTTAGCATACTATAAAAAATAAGTCAGTTTTTTTTATTCTTTCGACAAAAGCATGTTTAATCTGAGGAGGTAAAAATAAATATAGTTAATGAGATTTCCTATCTGCCCAGACTTCAGAGAGACTCTGTACTATGATTTAAAACATATTGCGCAAAAGTAGATTCTTTGAAAAAAGTGAGTTGAAACATTTGGTCCCGAAAAATTATCCTGTGTTTCTGATATCGCCATGGATTGTTGAAGCTTTCGCGAGATTTGTTATTTCTTGTCTAATCTAGGAATTATGTCCTCTTCTCAATCTCTCAGGAAGGTATCTCGATAAGCATAGCTATTCATTAAAATAAGTTCCGTTAGTTATATATTTAAATATCAGTTTACAGCTGACTACATAGGTAGGACCACTCAACTTCTAGAGAAGAGAACTGACTCGAATGCTCCTGCATCCATTAGAAAAAGGTCGACTAAACGTTTTGCATAAGTGTGCCGTCACATGCGGATTTGCAATCACAGAATATCGGGAGTGGGCACCGTCCTACCGAGCGGATATATTTACAGTTCTGTGCGGGTCACTTTCGAATTATCGTTTAAACGCCCTTGAAGCTATTTTCATTAAATCAAGACAACGTTTCTTGTGTAAACAGAAGGATTGGTTACGATTTATTCATTAAATAATATACTGTTACAGAATGCAGAGGATGGTTAGCGATTGGCCAGATTATCACGTGGACATGGTACTCTGATGATGGCGGATTGCCTTTGACTAAATTTTGAATATAAACCAAGACGATAGAGGGCCACAAGAATTTTGAAATGTTTATAGACTTCCCACGTCCACCTCAATGGAGTGACTAAGACTGTAGATGGAGGGAAGCTAAGCCAACAAGGCGGCATGCGACCTCTTGAATTTCTCCCACCCGTTGCCTCCAAGAATCGATGCTACCACGCCTGCCATTCTCCCCTAAGTTAAAGAATAATAATAAGAAACCCTCATTTATTAATAACATGGTGATCCCAGGGACGACACGAAAAGCAACATTACCCGGCTGAATTTAGTATTGATATACATGTATTTTTGTCAATATTCCTTGTTAGTCCTTAATATTTTTTTGTTAATATTCCTTATTAATCACCACAGAGAGCCTTCTCTTCCCTCCATTAGAATGTCTGACGCTCAACTTCTCGAGAGCAACTCTCTGCGGCTTCTCGGTCTCACGTTGATTGCTGACCTGAGATGGAATTAATACATCGAGTCAATTGCCTTGGCCACTGCGAGGAAAGTTGGCTCCCTGAGCCGCGCTAGGAAGTTTTTCTCCCCGGAGTCGATCCTCAAGATATACAAATCCCCAATT